CTCTTTCCGTTTTCTTCTTTCAGGCACTGAGAGATGTCCTCAGAAGGGTGTCGTGAAGCAAGTCGCTTCAAAGCTGCTAAGGGCGCTGTCCGAGAAAGGACTGGCCTTGCTCGTCAACCACGGCATTCCGGAATGCAAGGTACGCATTTCCATCGATACTCGTTCCACATAATTGCCGGATCAAAGAGCCACTCTGACGTTATACGTATCTGGGATCTTGCTTAATTATACGCGTCAGTTATTGGGGAAAGAAGTAAAAAGAATAAGAGAAAAAGAAAAAAAAGTAAAGCGATTAAAGTACTGGAAGAAACGAGACTCAAAATAATCCTGAATGTTTCTATCGAACGTTCCTTGGAAGCTTCAACTTCACTGAACCGAATATATATTTAAATATTTAATATTACCCACAAGTTTGGATTGTCGATTATTTTTTCAAGCTCTTCGTATAGGATCTTTCACGCGTCGTTTTATGTTGATAATTTATTAGATAATGTATCTTGACTCTGTCTTCCAGTTGGCCTGAAATGTTATTTTAAAAACCAAATTATTTGCTTGAATTGTTCGTGCCGATATTTAATTATAATTGAACCTGGAATAAATCTGTCGAATGAGTATTCAGGTAATCAAGTTACTTACTATCACAAAATGTTACACGAGTAATCAAGTTCCGAGCGTTTACTCGACTCACGTTTCAAGTACTTGACTCGCTTTAGTAAAAGGAGTGCCCTGACTCGAATTTCGGGTACTTGACTCGGTTCGATAACTACAGTCCTACCCTGCTCAGATATCAACCGCTGTAAAATAAACTTGGCTTCACTCGGTTACTCAACCACTCGTCTCGGTTCATTAATACGAATTCAATTTGAATTTCAAATACTTCATTCAACTTGACACATTTCATGCAGTTTAAATTTCAATTCATCCTGCTAATTGGAACATTCCAATTCCTTCATTGGATATCACTGAAAAAAAAGGAGAATATAACGGGGGAATGTAACTTTGCATTAAATGCACCGAATGGTATATGTATTTCAAAAATATATGTATCTAACGATAAAGGCAAGCTCTTTGAATAGGGAGAAATAGTTTTGATGGCCATGCATTCGATCGTATTACACGCACGATGAGGCCTTACCTTGTAACGAAACTCGCGTCCTCGGTTGACTTACAAAATTACTGCCTCGCGTGGAACCAGAATTAAAGGAGTCAAGGCGAAGTACAACGAAGACCACGTTGAAGGAAAAGCGGGTATCGTTCGTGAATCTGTTACAAAAAAAAGAGAGAGAGAAAAAAGAAAAATGAAAAAGAATAGAAAAGGAAAGAAAAGATAAAATTAAAAAACAAAATAGTCGATCGTTTGCGAGATTGTAATTAACAAAGATTTCTTAATGTCCTCATTATGACGGTATTTGGTGACGAATTTTCAAGGGTCCGCGATGATAAGGCAATATGTAAGTGGATTTTGCGAGATGACCTTGCAGAAGTTGCCGAGACCTGCTATCAAGCAGGAGAACGTTATCGTGGCCGGTCCGTTACATTTTCGCAAGATAATTCCCGGCAGGGTTATGACGTGCACAATCTACTATAAATACGTTTGTGTATTAATCGTTTATCTTTACACTACGTCCGCGTGTACAATGCGTTAATTCATTTGACACACACGCGTATTCCTTTCCCGGTGACCGGTAAATGAGAATGAATGTCCGGTATATATGTGCAGTTTGGAACTCGAGTTCTGACATCGTTATGGTAGATGAAATACTTGGCTGTAACTGAAATTTGAAAATTTAAAACTTTTAATTCGAATATTTGAACGTTAAAATGGAAGGACTTGAGATTTTTAACGTTAGCGGCTTTACCTTTTCTTCTAGATTAAATGTTATATATCAAATGAGATATGTTGTAGTTTTGAGTTTGAAGGAATTGGATAATTAGTATTGAAATAAGTCCAATGCAAGAATGTTCGACACCTGTATTGCATCTTATCGTTGGTTTCTTCCATAAAGGGTAAACAGATTCTTTTGGTATGATTAACGGATTTTATCCAGGCGGTTTAACATTTATAAATTACAAGTACTCTAGAAATTTTATTATTAATATATCTGTAATGCATTTAAAGAAAGACCAACGTCCCTTAATTGTTACAAAACTGTTACATTTAGCAAGGTATCTTAATTCCAAAAAGATAATTCGCTAGATCGCATAATTGAAAGAAGATGAAAAAATAATTCTTACAAAAAAAAAAATAACGTCTACGCTATTCTATACTACTGTTAATTACGATTTTAAAACTTACTCGTTGCTTTCTCTTCCAAGATATTTTATAAACATTTTCCTAATTCATTAGTTTCCATGAAAACTTAGCCTCAAAATGTCCATTTCTAACCAAAAACAATTTACTCAACTACTACGTTAAAAGTAAAATTATCAGACTTTAATAGTTTTTCAAAGCCTCAGAGAAAATTAACTAACCGGACAACTTCATTTATAAGATTAGGAATTATTGGTCGTACTTTTGTAATTTTTTATCAAACATTGTATAAAGAAAATATTACATCACCAATAATAGTTAGGAAGCCAGCGCGTATTCTGTATTTCACAAGCTTCACAGTACCATCTATTACCTTTTACTCTTTACCCCCCCTCTTTTTTTCTATGCTGCTTTTAACGGTCCTACAGTTTGCCACGGCGTCACGATATTTCGTTGTCAACCGCGCACTCGATTCAATTGGTTCGAACGAACTGTCGGTTTTAAGTACCTTAGCTGAAATTGAATTAAGAATTAATCGGAAGGGAAGAAGGGAGGAATGAAGGGGGGAGTGTACGTGTCAAATAAAGCATCCGAACGATGCCTTGAAATTCGTCGAGCAATTGCTCAACCCAAACTACTGTTAATTCACGTAACTGTTGCGTTGATTCGACTACATAGTTGCAACGCGTTTACCGTGTAAAATCGTTTGTTTGTCGGCCACCAGATTTGTTCTATTCTGTTTGCTCTCGTGGTAAACAACGCGTTCGATCGACTGAAGAATTGTGACGATTAGCGGTACTAATTACATACAACAATTTTCATATGGTAAAGTAGCATAGTAAAATAATGAAAACATTTTTTGTGCCCCATTTAAACAAATTTAATCTAGTTGCTCATTCGCGTTATCATTAACATTAAACGAAATATTTTTCTGGCATAATAAAATAATAATTATTATATATAATTATTATTTAATTATTTAAATGCGGCGATCGATTTTTTTCTCGATTAAAATATGTTTTATCATAGGAGACACCACGAAATTTCAAAGTATCACTGTAGTATGAAATCTTATTTTATTTGAATAAATCAAATGATACATTTTTGTAAAGTGGCTCGTTGTAAAATATCTGTTAGAAGAGCCATTGCGCAATATTACTAGTATCAATATGTTATATTTCACTACGTTTATCGTTTCACACTGCACTTTTTATCCCTAGAATTCCCTATATCGATTAAAATTCGCAATAATCAAATACTAACATTTCGATATCTTTTTCCATCGTCCTCGCTATTAAGTATGGACAATCGACGAGTCGATTTTTACGTAATTACAAATTTATGATAACGGAAATAATATACATCACTATGATGACAAATTCGGTGCCATCAGCTTTAGCGATATCTCTCGGGGATGTTACTTGGCAAGGTTTCTAAACCAAGCAAAAACGTAATTACGTAATGCTTGATTCAATTAAAAAAGAGTAGCACTAAAGTATTTCTAAATTCAGATCACTGACTGTTTAAAACATTCTTAGATAATTGCATAACCTTTCCGACGAAATATAATCAAAATATTTTTTAAACTTTAAACATCTTTAAGAAACTTATAATGTTGCAGCCTTTAGGTTTGTATGATTATAATATCGTAGTAAAGATATATTATTTATCGTTCATCTTCATTTGTAGATGAAGGCCGCTTACAGAGCTTTCGATGCATTCTGCGAACTTCCAGAAGAAGTACGTAACAAATATCAACGCACTCCGTCAGACAATTATGGATACGTGAAACCAGGACCCTCAAAGTATGAATTTCATGACTATAGTAGTACCGAACAAGCTAGAATCAGGATTAAGAAATAATTAGAATTATTAATACCTTTTTCTTTTTCTTGTTTGTACAGATATACTGACGAGAAAGAAGTTCGTCATGTTTTCAATGTGACTGGATGCGCAGGAACTCTTCCAGATGAAGAAGTGCCTGGTTTCAGATCGGCAGTCGATGAACTTGCGCGCGATTTTAAACAACTATCTGCTATGCTTTTAACCGTAATGACTTGTTTTTTTTGTTGCCTATTAGCATATAAAATTAATTAATCATTTTAATTATTTGTTAACCTAAAACAATTTATGAAAGTTGGTGCAAGATCCAACATTCTATATTATCAATCTCTATTAAATTTAATACAAAATAATAATAAAATAATTGGATATTTCATGCATTCGTTTAAAAAGAAAATCAGGCTTTTACGTTAAACTATTTAAATTTGACGGAAAATTTTTGAATTCTAATTGTCATTTTTTTATGCAAAAATCTATTAAACGACAATACGTCTATAATCTCTTATAAATTAAACTATACGTCGTTGCATGAATATTTAAAAAAATTTTAAATATTTTTTTCCTTTTTTCATTGATGTTTGTTTATAACGATTTGGAAGCCTTTAAGGACACAGATCGTTTGACAAAAGTGAGAATTGCTTTAACTGTGAGTAACCCTACAAACCAATCTGTTCGGCAAATAAACTAACGTGATTGGTTTCTTCGGTTGCTTTACAGCCATCATTAGGTACTATAAAATAAAAATAGGGGCCAATTTATGTGATCTATGCCTTGTAGGCTCTGGCCGTGGGCCTAGAGCAATCCCCCGATTTCCTGCTCTCGAAGCATTCACGTATGCTGGGACCTGGTAACGAGTCAACCCTTCGTCTTCTTTACTATCCTCCTCTTGGTGCACCAGCACCAGGATTGGCTCGTTGTGGCGCTCATTGTGATTATGGAACTTTTACATTATTGGCACAGGTGAACAGTTTTATAAAATTCGATAAAAAATACATAGAGTGTATTTAATTAATAACTTTCGTTTAATGTAAATTATATTTTGTTTAAAATGGTATATATATTATTTATATCTAAATAAAATTATAACTAATATTCAATTCAGTAAAGAAGATAATATATATTAAATAAAACAATAAGTATTATAATTAAAAGACACGAATAGGAAGTTATATTTTTAGAAATGTAATTTAAATTTTAATTGAATACAAGTTTTTTAATTTTTAATTATATTAAAATTCAAATTACCTTTAAATTCAGTTTTGGTTTATTAACTCAACAAGATGTAAATTGTAACACAATTAATATTTTGTCTATTTTTAGGATTGCGAAGGTGGTCTAGAGATACAAACACCATATGGAGAACGATGGGGTAGAGTAGGCCATCTTCCAGGTGCTATTTTAGTGAACACTGGTGACATATTAGCGAACTGGACAAACAATCAATTACCAGCATTGAGACATCGAGTGGTTGTACCCGAACTCTGTGGTCGGGGTCGTCATTCCATTGCATTTTTTGTACATCCAGATACTAATATTCCGATTGAGCCATTAGATACAAAAATTGCAAAAACTAATCAAGAATCAGCACCATGTCGTTTACAGAAAAAAAAACGTGGCGTTTTAACAGCGTATCAGCATATTCAACGCCGTCTTCGAGAAACTTATGCTTCTTAACGTTGTTAACGCAATTGCATCTCTGTATTTCTAGATAAGAATACTTTAGTACGACTACCGTTGAAATTTACGCTGAAAAAGACTAAATTTTTAATATCAAAATAACATGATAAATTTTTACCTGTTTAAGACATTACAAATTTTTTTAAAGGAACTAATACAATAAGGAACAAAATAATTAATTACCAATTGTGATAAAATGGTTCATCCATATTTGTTAGAAATAAAACGAGAAATCCATTAATAAAGTGTAAGAACTACAATGTTGCATCACAAAGGCAATAATAAAGAAATTTGTACTTACATTTTGTAAAAATGCATTTTATACAAATAATTTAATTTCCCATTAATAAAAGGCAGATTAATATTTTGTCACGTGTATTTTTTATTTTATATCGACGATCTATTATTCTATACTTCTTTACATATAACGATATCAAAATTAAAATCCAGGATCCCATTTCAGCTCTTGTTTACCTTTACTTACTGTGAAGCAAATAATAGTATCTCCAGGTTGCAATGCTACCGTTGGATCTTCAAATCTAAGACCACATTCGAAATCAGCTTTTACTGATAATACTTCTTCCTTTAAATGTCTCATTGACACCACTTTTCCTACAATAAAATATGCAAATATTCTCGATTCTTGATTAAACATATTCAAAATATTTACCTTAAATTAATATGCAACAAAAAGTAATATAAAATTGGAAAGAAAATATAATAATCTATTAAGGGAACTTAATACTAAATAAATTATTTAAATTCATAACAGCTATAATATATTTACCTGTATAAATATTTTCATTGTTTCTTATTATGTTAAACAATCCAGATTTTAAAAGAGTACCTTTATTACAATGGCAACCTGCAATGTTTACTTTCATCCTTTTATCCTTTATAGAAAATACTTGTAATACTTTTGCTTCACCTACATTTAAAAACAAAAATAAATTATACTGTTCAACAAATTTTTTTCTTTTTTGCAATATGCATTGAGTGGTTCTTGTAGAGTTACTCATCTTGAACATAAATCTGTAAACAAAATTGTTATATGGTCTTCACTTCTAAAAAAAATCGAATTTTTGTAATAAATCGTCGATTTTTAACAAAAACGAAGTATTGCATGAAAACTAGAAACATTAGAAAGTTCTAACTGATCTGAAAAGGCAGAAGAGAGGACCCTGAATGCATCAATATCTATAATTATAATATTTTAAAGCCGTAAACGATTATAATTAATCACTGAAGTTCAAAGAAGCACCAATGTACATAGCTTCTGCATACTATTTTTATATTTTTACGAAATGTTATTTATCTAGCACGAATTTGTTATACAGTACTTGATTTTGTAGATATTTCTGAAAAAGAAGTCGTCCAGCAGAATTGTTAAAGCGTTTTTCTGTTTATGGATTCGTATTTACGATTAGTAACTCTACAAGAATCATACATGCATATTGCAAGAAAAGAAATTATGTTAGACGATGTTATTATTAGTATACATTAATAATATAATTGTAATATCATTACCTGTTATCTCCTTAATATCAACTTGAGGTAGTACCTCAAAAATTTCTTCTTTAATATTATCAATAAGTTTATATATAACATTATAAAAACGAAGAGATAAACCTTTCTTACTAGCCTCTTCTTCTATTTTTTTATTTGCATTCACATTAAACCCATAAATAATTGCTGGAATAAGAAACCAATTTAAAGTGATCGATAATAAATATATTAAAAACATATATTGATATTTTATATTACCATTAAATATTTCCGCTAATTCTATATCCGAATTCGTAACGGGCCCAATATCATAATGAACGATGTTTAACTTGCATATTCTATCATACGTATATGTATTAAAAATATCTAATAATGTTCCAACACTTCCTGCCGTATCACCTTTTATAATAATATTTATTTCTGGAATAGAATCTTTAGTTATATCCTTAGAATTTTCTTCAACCAGCTGTTTATTTATCTCTTTCATTTTTTCTAACTGCTTTTTATATTTCTGTAATTAAAAAACTATATAGATTGTAACTTTTATATGCAATTAAAATACGTTTTTTACAATACATTACATTCTTAGTTAAAATCTCATTTTTCTGTTTTTTCCTGAATTTTATAACTCTTTGTAGTATTTTATCACTTTCTACTTCAAGTATTTCATCTCCAGCCATTGGTAATTCTTTCCATCCAATGATTTGTACCACTTCTGATGGTCTAGCTTCCAAAACGGGACTGCCGGAATCGTTATATATACCTTTCACTTTTGCCGCTGCCGCCCCAGAGACTATTTAGAGTAAATAAATATCAATCAAAATTAATTTAACGAATTTAATTTTATAAAGTTATGAAAATCAACAATTTGAGTCTTTTAAGATACATCTTTTGTTACTTTTTTAAAGTTTCTAGAGGAAAAGGCTTTAAAATATGTAATTAAAAAAGAAACGCAGAAATTTTGTAGATTTTTTTAAAAACCTAGAATTAAACAAACTTTACATTAAACAAACTTTCTTTTAATCAAAACAACCCAGCTTGTCAACAATATTAAAAAGAAATAATTATTGGCAGACTTCTAGTATCATCATTTTTTACCTAAATAACATCCTTTTCTTAAAGTACCACGCTGAATTAAAGCCGTTACCAATTTCCCGCGATTATAATCATTACTACATTCAACAACAACAGCTTCTATTAAGCCCACAGGGTCTGCTTTCAAATCCATTAATTCGGCTTGTATAACTATAGTTTCCATTAATTCTTGTAAATTAATCCTCTTTAAAGCAGATATTTTAACACACTGTGTGTCACCACCACGTTCTTCAATTACAATACCATGTTTCTCAAGTTCATTCTGTGTCTCATTCTGTAAAAATATTAATTAGAGATCTAAAATTTCTAAATTTTAATCTTTAATTTGAAATTTTTAAATATTTGGAATATTACAATATCAATGTTAGGTTTATCAATTTTATTGATGGCTACAATAATTGGAACATTAGCATCATTTGCCATTTTTATACTCTGCAAGGTTTGTTCCTTAACTCCATCATTAGCTGCTACTACCAGTACTACAATATCAGTTATGCACACCCCTCTATTTCGCATAGAAATGAAAGCAGCATGCCCAGGTGTATCAAAAAATGTTATTCGTTTTCCAGACTTCAGAGTTACTACAATTCAAGTATCAATAAGTAACTTATACTTTATAAAAAATGGCAAAATATTTTTTTCTTTAAATCACTTAGTTTTTTTGTTATTACTATATTTTATTATTACTTGTATTTTAATTACATTTTAATAAAACATTGATTATATATCAAATATATAATGAATATTTAAAAATTAATTTAACACCAACCATTAAAAGCACTAATACACTGTGTAATTCCACCAAATTCTGATTGTGCAACAGATGTATTTCGTAATGCATCAAGTAAAGTAGTTTTACCATGATCAACATGACCCATTATTGTTACAACTGGATGCCGTTTCACTAATTGAGATTCATCTGCTGGTGGCCTATATGTAAATTTAATTATGTAACACATTTAATGAAAGTAATACAAACTGTTATTCTGAATTAATAATTTAAACACATATGTATATTACCTTCTAGTAACATTATATATTGTATTCTCATCTTTACTTTTTTCTGGTATGAATTTAACACATTTTCCTAGATATTTGACTATTTGACTTAAAACTTTTGACTTTATAATGCTATTTTCATTACATACCCTTTCATTGGTATTCAAATAAATAACATCAAAAATATCATTAACACTTTTATTAGTACAGATTGCTAATTCTTTAACTGTCATATTTTTCCACACGTTTAAAGCAGGCAACCGTGTTTTTATAAATTCTTTTTTGTATTTAATACGTTTATGATTTTTTATTACTTCATTATTTGACAATTGTGTAGAATCCTGAAAATAATTTTTAACTTCATTTGAATACATATATTGAACATACATTTTAATATATATAAATTATATAAAAGTTCAAACTATACCTGTTCTATTTCTCTTCTTTGTTTGAAAGAAAATGAGGTAATATGATAATATTGCTGATGAACAAATAATGTATTGCAGATATGTATAAAATAATTAAAATTTTCTTGTCGTTGTAAAATATGTCTTATTTGTCTTGATGAACTGTAAATTATGTTCATTAAAAATATACATAAAACTATAATATTATATTAAAATTTAGAGTCATATTTAATGATATTAAATATATCAAGTACATTAATAATGATGATGTTATATATGTATATTATAACAAAATTTTTTAAAATTTTATTCTTTAAATTAAGCACTTTATATTTAAGTGTAATATTACATTAAAAAGATGGTTATATTTATGATTTAATATTACATATAACACTAGATAAAGAAACAATAACAAATCATGCAATTTTATGTTTATTACATTACGTAATAAAAGTACTAACATGAAAAATTTAAATATTTATAATTTAAAAAATTCAAAATACCTAAATATAATATATGTTTTAATAGTGGTGGCAGCCATACTCCTAGATATGTAGTATGGTCACAATTGCAATTCACACAGAGTTATTCAATTTTGTGTTTAATGTCATATTTCAAAAATTTTTTATTTATAATTATATTAGAAGTAAAATTTATATTTGATAAATGTATTTATAAAATTATACTGTTAAACTAAATAATTAAAAAAATGTAATCCTAATAATTTCATAAATTACAACATTAGTAAGACATGTACTATTACCATCTTATAATAATTTAGTAGATTAGCAATACTTAAGTTATACTAATTTATTCATGTAAGTAAACCTTTACACTTGAATAATCTGAAATTGCTTATTATCGATATCGATATTGTTTTGGATTTATATTAACAATCTTGAAGTTAATTTCATATCATTTCCCTGATGCAATATATAACTTTCCGTGAACATTTATCGTTTCATCTTTGCAGTTCATAAATGGCTTTTACTAAAGCAATTAAATAGTAATGAGGAAAAATTCGAAATTGTATATTGTAGATATTTTAAACTTATATTTCAATTTACTGCGTATAAAACATTTTGTTGACATTTCTTAATCTAAATACGCGACATTATAAATATGTCAGACAGTATGGAACGAGATAAAACTGAACTGTTAACAGTCAAAGAAAGAGAGGAAGAGGAAGAAATGAAACGAGAACTTTTAGGTATTTGAATGTTTAACAAATATTATAAATCTTTTTGCATTTGATAAACGTTAATAATTTTATTAATCATTCTTTTTAAGCAATTTTATTTTGTTAATTACATTAATTTTTACAATTAATTGTATGTTATGTTTTAACATAATTTCCAGATATGAAAATGTATGAGACATGGTATACTTACAAGGATATGAAACAAATTTTAGGGTTTATTAACGAATCTAAGGATATGGCAAATATGGCTAATGATGAAAAAACTGCACAAAAGGTTTGTTCACTGTTATTTAATAATCTTTTTATCTTGAAATAACATAATTACATAATTCTCAATTGAAAATGATTATAAAAATTATAGAGTATATTAAAGTAATTTTTTTAATTATATACACACATTGATGTGTGTATAATCTTTATAATTTTCAGGAATTAATGCAATCTTCTAGTGTCTGTACCCCAGAAATGATGCTCAAGACAAATATAACACAGGAACTGGAGATACAAGAACATAATGATACATCTCAGTCAGTACATTCATATAGACCCAATCATGCATCACCAATACATGAAAGAATATCAACTCATGGATGTAGCAATTCTGATCTTGCATCTGCCATTATTGAGTCCAGAAATTCTGTATATAAAGGGAAAAATTTGGATAGTGAAGATATGTTTATTAGATTACAAGACAATTCAAATATGAGAGATAGTTATTCTCATAGCACGAGTAGATATATTTCTTTAAAATCAAAAAATTCTTTACAAGATTCAGATATTATAAATAGTACAGAGATGAAGATGGACACACATCCTGAATGCGATAAAAAACCAGATCAGTGGCAAATTAATCCACTAGATTCATATGTTAGTGAAAATGATGTGCCTTTGCAAGAGCCAAATCGGCCTCTAGTTCAAGATCGCATGCCATTTAGATTATGCAAAGATGCACAAACTCCTGAGACGCTTGAGAAACTACTACCTGCATTAAATTTTTATTTGAAACAAACAGCAGAATTATGGCATAGTTGGCACCGTACTACTGATACTAAGTTCCAATGGGGGTCACCCATTCAGGTGGGTACCTCCATCCAATCCATTTCTTACAAATCCTATCATTAATGGATATAAGAAAATAATTCTTTTTTCATATATAAGTTAATTACACCATGATGTAACATTGTGTCATAGAAAATTGATATTAAAATTAATTATATGCATAGATTTGTGTTTAGGATGTTGATGTTTCTTCCTAAAATATTATAAATTTAAATTTTAATATAGATTTTTATTGACTCTTTTCAATAAAAAATGTGTAACTGCTTAATATAGTATCTCTGGCATATATGATATTTCACCTTATGTCTTATAATTAGCAAGTACAATGGTTGTGATAAAATTTAACTAATACATTAAAGATAACTTCACTGACAAAGTTTACATATTTTTTATTTGTATATACATTAATAAGATAATTTGAAAACAAATAATGCTCTGTATAAAAAATTAAAAATTATGATTAATGTTTCTTATAAAAGTTGTAAAGTTTGCATTTATACAAACACGTGTATACATAAGTGTTTATAAAAGAAAACCAGTAATTAAAACTGTAAGCTGCAAACAATCTTTGAATAAATCATATTTCTGTAAAAAAAAAAAATAGTTTCATTGTTATAATTCTAATCCTACTTTCAACATTTCTGTAGGTGGATGTTGCTAACAATAATTTGGATAAAAAGTTATTAACAAATATTAGGATTGAACAAAGTCAAATGGAATATACAAATAAACCTACTAATGAACGACTTAATAAACGTAAATCAACTAAGATTCTTTCTCTTTCTAATACAATACATTCTAGCAGTGATGAAGACGAAAGTATTACTAAAAAAAAGAAAATTCAATCTCATGAAGACACAAATAATGAGTTACAGTCAAATAAAACAATATGTAATGCTAAATGCAGTGAGAAGAATAAAAATTTAAAACATAATAATGTTAGCAAATTCATTAATAATATGGAAAGTGAACACTTTAAAATGGAATGTAAAAAAGAATCCAAAGAGTGTTTATCACCTGAATTAATTCATTTACATCCAAAAAAAGTTATATCTCAAAACATTAAAAGGAATAATAACAGAAAGGGAGAACACATTATTAATATGTCCCCCAGTAGCCTATTAGCACATAGTAGCAATGAAAAACAAAGTGCCATAAATTTAATATCCAAAGAGAAAAATAATAGTCTTAGTGACGAAGAAATTCTCATAGAATTGAAAAAAGATAATGATAACGGTAATGTTAAAGCAATAATTGAGCATTCTGAAATTAAACCATTGCCAATAACAGGTCTTTCACATAGAATAAAAAATGAATGTATGATTTTGGAGAAAATTCAGTTAGAGAAGCAAAAAAAACTTGAAATTGAAAGAGAAGAAGTCCAAAACAGAGAAACCAATGAAAGAAAAAAAAGAGAAGAGTTTCATAAAAAACAAACAGATGAAAAACAAAAAAGAGAAAAACAAAAAGAAGAGGAAGAGAAGTATAGAAAAGAAAAAAGTAAAAAATGGAACACAATTGTAGATATGAAGCTTCATAAAAAAGCCAGCAAAGAAAATAAAGGACAATTTCAGAATTTAAATAGACAAAATAAGAGTAAGGTGTCAATAGAAGATAATAGGTCGTATGAGGTAATCAATTTTTATACACATTTTTTCTGATAATATCTATAGACAAAATGGTTTATATTTCATGGCTCATTTTCCTTTTCCTTTTTCTTTTTCTTTTTCTTTTTCTTTTTCTTTTAGGACAATATTACTTCTGTAGCTAAAAATATGGAAATAATAGAAAGTAATCTTATAAATTGTCCTATCTGTAATAAATCTTTTCCAAGTGACAAAATAGAAGCACATGCTGCTGGATGCGAACAATATATATCTGAAAATGAATATGAAAATGATTTGTATTTATTGGGAAGTAAATCATCACCAATTAGTGATAACAGTACTGAAGTTCTTGAATGTGGTGTTTGTTCAAAGTATAAAACGACTAATGGAATACATTATGAAGAACATGTTAATAATTGTTTGCAAAAACAACACAAGGAAAAATCATTAAGTGGTAATCATTATCATACTATCTTTTAATAAAATATAAATAAAATTATGTATAAAATATTCTATGTAATACTATGTAACATTGTACAATGCATTTATTCATACATTAACAATGTCATATTTTTTCAGAGTATTCAGGCAATGAAATCAATAATGTCCCTAATTCACCTGTTCGTTGTTATCGACCAATTAGTGAACAAACTGATTCACATATAGATTATAGGAGACAATTTCCCACAAACAGTAAGACACACATATATCCCAGTAGAAAAAGGAAACGCTAATAAATACTATTCCTATTTTTAAAACATATGTATGTAAATGTACATATATGTGTAAATGTAGATATGAATCTATATATCGATAAAAAAATTGATATCCTATCATGATTTTAATAATATTATATTATTCTTATCTGTTGAAAAGAGATTAAAACATATAATTAAAACATGTTATAGAAAGTGTAGAATATAGTTTCTTTTGCATTTGTTGTAACATTCCATGCTTGTAAAGATTTAAGTACATGTGTGTATTACTTTAATACAAAAAAATTTATTGCTTTAGATAAAGCCTAAGTCAAAATACTTTTATTTATTTCATTATTAAACAACAAAATTGAAATTAAAATAGAATTGTATTAAAAAATGATTATTTACATCTTTATACATGATTAATTAATTGTACAATATGCACAATAAATTTAAATATAATAAATTCAAAATTCTTATTAAAAGGTTTAACAAAATACATTTGATGAAAAGAAAGTATAACAGTACTGATCAAATGATATCAATTTTTATAAGTCAATTATAAGCATTTATATTATAAAGTAAAATGTATTTTTATACAAGTAATGATTTCCAGTGTGAATAAAATATTATATTTAAATGTTTTGTTTCATTCACTCTAAAATTAATTATATACAGTATATTAAATTATAAAAATTAAATGGTATTAAAATTACTTTCATATTAAAAAAGAATGTTTATCTTAATATTGCATGATAAGCAAAATTCAGTAATAAGATTATTTCATTATAAGTATATATTTAAAAACGAATATGATAAGAAATTTAATGTATATCAAACATTGAAGTTACATAAGCATTTACGAAAAAATAATATAATTTCTTATAGTACAAAAAAATTTGTTAGATTATCTTAAAATAAGTATTATGAAGTATATTTTTCAATTTATAACTATTGCAGTTGTACTTAATAATATCTTCTCCCTAACCTTAGATGGTTCATGGATAGGTATTAAATATATTATATTAAATACGTTAACATTATTTTGTTTATATAATACCATTCATATCAATATATAATATTATATGATTCTCTAATTTAGGTAAAATTACAACTAATAAACATAAACATGGTAAGATTTTTTGTAAATGATTCTGTGATATTGTAACATTTTTTAATAATTTACATTTTTAGAAATTATATTTTCTGCAACTATACCAGGAGGAATTTATACAGATTTAAACAAGGCACAAATCATACCAGACAATTTTATTGGAAAAAATGATGTAACCAACCGATGGGTTGGTAATCAATCAGTTATATATATTAAAAATTTCTATGGTAATTATTTTAATATAAAAATATTAATATGTTTAGATAAAGTGTTCCTAAAGTTTTAACAAAGATTAAAATATCTTTCTTGTAGTGAATGAGACCCTATTAAATATGCCTAAAGTGGTATTAATTTTTCATGGCGTGGATACATTTGCTACAATCTTTTTAAATGCTAAAAAAGTTGGAGAAACATCAAATATGTTTTTAAGATATACATTTGATGTGACAAAATTTATACAAGTAAATAATTTATTTTCATACGTTTATGTATAATATTTATTTATAACATTCATTTATATTTATCTGTACAAATTTTTTATAACATTTATTTTTTAGAAAGGGGAGAATTCATTAGAGGTCCAACTTTCTTCTCCAGTTAAAGTTGCTGAAATTTTATATAATGAACAAGCATCAAAATATATTATTCCTCCAATATGCAATCCAGATAATTACAATGGAGAATGTCATATAAATCATATAAGAAAAATGCAAGCAAGTTTTGGTTGGGATTGGGGTCCAGCTTTTCCATCAATGGGAATATGGTATATTCAATTTTTGTAATTTATTTACATTATTTATTACTGTACATTAATTCAATAATATTTTAGGAAAAGTGTAGAAATAATTCCTGTAAATGAAATTTATATCACAGATATTACAACAGATATCTATAAAGGAGCAAATTTTTGGAATATTGTAATTACAGTATTTCTTGAAACTGGCTTAAAGGAAAATGATCAATTTAAAACTTGTCTTACTTCATCTATTCTTTATATTAATGAACAATCAACTATATATAATTCTAGTAATGTTAATTCATATATAAATGATAAACAAATAAAAAGTTCTATAATTCTCAATGTACCTATAGTATGTGTACAATATGTATAATGGTTAAATATTTCAATACTTGAGTAGTACATATGTATAGTAATATAATTATTTTTTTATATAGGATCTTGTACATGAGTGGTGGCCAAATGGTTATGGCAATCAAACTCTTTATTCATTAGTTATAACTGCAGCTACCTCTACTGATATCAAGCAGAAAACAATACGTATCGGTTTCAGAACGGTAGAACTTATACAAAAGCCTTTAAAACAAGGATTAAGTTTTTATTTTCAGATAAATAATATTCCAATATTTGCAAAAGGCAGTAACTTCATTCCAGCTAGTATCTTTCCTGAACTGAGTGCTAAGATAGATACAATTAAACATTTATTAATATCTGCTAAAGAAGCAAATATGAATATGCTTAGAGTATGGGGTGGTGGTCTTTATGAATCTGAATTATTTTACAATATGGCTGATGAATATGGAATCATGATTTGGCAGGATTTCATGTTTGCATGTGGAATGTATCCTACTACAGAAGAATTTCTTAAATCAGTTAAGGAAGAGATAATACAAAATATACGAAGATTAAAGAATCACCCCAGTATTGTAATCTGGGCTGGAAATAATGAAAATGAAGCAGCTTTATATGGAAATTGGTATGGAACTGGAACTAAACAAATATATAGAACAGATTACATTAAACTTTATGTAGACATTATCAAGAAAGTAGTAGAACAACAAGATTCTACACGACCTTTTGTGGTATCTAGTCCTAGCAATGGATTATATACAGAGAAATATAATTACACTGGTAAAGATCCATATTTAAAGTTATTTGGAGATGGTAAAATATATTTTTTATTTTAATATAGAAACAGAATATGTTTGAATCCTGGTTTAATAAAATAATATTTCAGTTCATTATTATAACTACATTGATAATGGATGGGATATGCAACAATATCCTTGTGTAAGATTTTCATCTGAATATGGATTTCAATCATTACCTTCAATTTATACTATGTTGCCAGTTGCAAGCACAGTCACTGACTTGGATATAGATGGTACCTTCCTTGAACATCGTCAACATTTACCATTAGGAACACTATATTTAAAAGTTCTTATTTCAAAGAATTTCAAATTACCTGAAACACAAAATAAACTAAAACGATTCAAAAATTATATATACTTAAGCCAAATTAATCAAGCTGTCTCAGTAAAGATACAAACAGAGTTCTACAGACAATCAATGTCAGAATTAAATGAATTTGGGGAAGGAATGACAATGGGTGCATTATATTGGCAGTTAAACGATGTTTGGCAAGCTCCATCTTGGTCTTCTATTGGTAATAATTACTGTAAATAGGATAAAATATTTAAATCTATTTTTCATTTAATAATCTTATCTACTTAGACTTTAATGGACGATGGAAAATGCTTCATTATTATGCAGTAGAATTCTTTGCACCTATTATAGTTACATACTACATTAAAAATATGGAACTTTTGATTTATATTGTCTCTGATAAAACATACCCAATGAAAAATATTACTTTAGAAGTGAATCTTTATACATTAGATAACATGGAACCTATTCAATCACATATACATCCTAATATAATTATTGTAAATATATAATCCTGTTAATATTATACATATATAAAATAGAAAAAAATGCATTTATATTATAAGTATAAAATTAATATTTTTTTCAGGAAGCTAATACAGTAACTAAAATTTATGATAATTTACTCAAACATTCATGGATTTTTAATTCTACAATACTTAATGAAAACCAATTTAACATTACTATTCAAAGTAATTGTATTACAACACTCACCTTGAAAAACGAAACTGGAATTTTAATAGCACCAAGAAATTATATATATCCAAGTAATGGTCTGAAAAGTATGACATTACCAGTTGCAAATGTTTCTGTAAGTTTATGCTTGAATTCGCAAAAGCATTATGTATTCTTGTTTAACATGAAATATTTTATTTTAGGTAAAAATAAATGATTATCATTTACCTGGAAGATTCTTTAATTATCCAGATATTGAACTTCAACTAACAACGAATGATATAACACTCTTTGTATGGTTAGAAGCTGCTAATATTTGCGGTCGTTTCTCAGAAAATGGTTTCCATATGTTTGAAAAAGAAAAAACAATTATTTTCTTTACATGTGAAGTTATTACCCCAGAAATATTGAAAAAGGCTTTAAAAATTACTACACTTTCTGAAATGTATTAAAGTTACCTCAAAGTAAATTTTAAATAAATAATAATTGTTTACTTTGCTAATGTAAAATTTCATATTCTTTGTGGAAAATATGTTTCATGATGTAAATAAATTTCAAATCCTATAAGGATAACAAGTATAATTAATATTATACAGATTATTAAATATATCAAGTTGGACATTTTATAATGTTAACTTATAAATTTATCTACAAATTTTTATAACTTTTCACTGAATTTATTGGTTACTATTTACAAACATTTAAACACTTTTCATAACAAAATATAATATGAATAATACTGAAGTTAGTATACTATTGTAACAAAGAATTAATGTTCACAGTATCATAGCAATTAAAAATATTTTACAATTATCTATTATAATATATTTTTTGTTTATTAGAATAAATATTTTAAAACACAATTATAAAACATATTAGTATAAAAAATCTATTTAAATGTAATAAATTTATAAAAACAGTTATTATATACATATATTTATAATTCCAAAGAAATAAAAATAATGCCAAAGTTATCTATTTTAAGATTAAATAAAACTTTTATATTTTGTAAACTGTATTTTTAAATTCTTTACGTAGATGAAGTCTGTTTCTTCAATATTCTATATAAATATTAAAATATGAATAAATATTTATATAATAAGCTTCATTTAAGGCATTTGTGAAATGTTAGCATTTAGCATTAGCTATATCTTCAAAAATTAATCTACAAAGTTTAATAATCTTTATGTTGTAAAGGTTTGTTAATTTTTTTTCAACTATTTAACAATACATGTTATGAAAAACTTCTGCACTATTAATGTTTAATTTCTGTATACGTAGTTAGAACTTCTTCTGATGGCGAATGTAAGTAATGGCGACTTAGATTAATTGCTACCATTATACAGCACAGTAACAAAGGCCCGAAAATTGCACCTTCCACGCCTAGACAAAAGATTCCTCCTGCTATAGAAAGACCTGTAAGATATGGATGTCCACCACTGAAATAAGAATAAGAGTGTAGCTATACATAAACAAATAAAATATGCATTTATTCAAATATATAAAATTAAAATACCCTTTAATTTCTTTATAAAATTCAGTTACAACAATATTACAAGGAAGGAAATGACACATGAAAAATAGAATAGCAATCATAGGACCACGAGTAAACCAAAGTTCCAAAGTAGTTGGAATGCAAGCAAAATATGCATCCAAAAATGGCACAGCTCCCAGTATTGTTGCAAAAGTTGATGGTAAATAAACTATTTTTACTTGAAATAAATTATGTATGAACCATGTCCACATGCCAAAGAAAGATGCAAGTTTAAATGTTGCAGCAAATACACCAATTACTGCTTCCTGTAGTGCTATGGCAAATCTGCAAAAGATAAAATATTAAACTTCATTTTTTGAAGTATATGTATAACAATATATATTTTTATAGTTCAATATACACATACCCCTCCATATGCAGAGTGCTTATGAATAAAAAGGTTAATATTATATATGAACTTATATTATATGTATATAAAATATATGAATATAAAATATAAAAATTTACCTATGGCAACTAATAGGACTAAACATTGTAGTTAATTCAACAGGTTTGTATATCTTTTCACTAGAACTAAGCAGATAAAAGAGCGTTGTAAAAAATACCACCTTAAAATAATATTTTTAGTACAATATATGCATATATATATATTAAATATTTTCAAATACATATATGTCTTTTTTAATTATTTATTTACCATGCTGAGAGTAAAATTAAATACTGCTGATCCACTCATAAGTATAATATAAAATAGTTCTGTAAGAATTCTTAGTATCACAGACATATTTCCCTTAACTATACTCCAAACAGAATCCAATACTGACATAAAAATTCCAATATTTTCTTTTACAAAGTTCTGTATACTCATCATGTTAAATAATTCTGTGTAAGAGAAATAAACACATTAGATAAATACGATACTGATATACCTAAATACATTAATCTTAAATATGAAATCTTACGTAAAGGTGTTTTTTTAAAAGTTTCTTTAAAACTTTCCCATGCTGAATAGGCTGCCGTAATATCTACAGTAGGCCCAATTAAATTAGAATTTTCATTAGACATAGACATCATCCATGCTTGATAAAGTCTGTCCCAAAGTTCTAAAATTTTCTTTTCCATTTGATCAGCTTTTGCAGCATCTAAATCTTTTACCAAACCTTTGATCTACATCACATATTATATATTTATATCAAGTATGTTCAGCCATCAGAAAAATAAATATATGTATATATATGTATATATATATATATATCTTACTCCATCAGAAATAGCACTTCTTCCATATGTGTAAGCATTATCTAACACACTATTAACTGAATCTTCCCATTGTTCAGGTAACCAGTCAATGTCTGGATTATTTATTAAAGATGAATTAAGTATTTCTCCAGTAATTTGAATAAGATGCATACCTTCTGCATAAACCTAAGAAAATTATATTAATGTATAATAGTTTTATAAATATATAGATAATAGTATATAATATGGATTTATTGTACCTGTACTGTTATAAAAATAGAAGTGCAAGTAGTAAATATAAGTAATCCAAAAATCACAGCAATTGTTACTACAGAATCAATTGAAGCTTTTAATGCTTTTGTTAATTTTTCATCAATTATGATTCCAATTTTATATAAACCCCTAATATTAGCTGGTAAGAGAGCTTGATGTCGGTTTATACACCATGTCTTTATAATTTGTATAATAATATTGTATTGATTTTTAACCAGCTTCCATACTCCAAAGTAACTACTAAGTTGCTTAACAATATAAAAAGCTATAGGAATAATTAAAATATATATCATCCATCTATGTTTCCAAAGAAGCATGCCAATACATCCATATAATGCACCATACATGTATTTATCAGTATCAACCTTATCATTATCTATATCTATAGACATCCGTAACTCTGTTTTTAATCTTTTCAACAGATAACGATCACGTAATGACATAGAGATACTAGAAGGTTGTAATTTGTGGCTCACTGTAGCTTTATTTGTATCCAATGACATTGATTTTTTAGAGAATTTTTTATTTGAACTAGTATCTGCTTTTACTGAAGCAGAAATAAGTTTTGTTTCTTGATCTTTGGTGCTTATCTTATTATCTATACTTTCTTCGTTGATATTTTCTACAGATTGTTTACTTTCTAATGGAGAAAATGATTCTTGTTCCATATGTATACTTAAACTATTTGTTAATGCAAAATAAACTGCTTCCATGAACGTCATGTGTTTATCTTCTAATTCTTGGTTTTCCATAGTAACTGCTACCTCATAAATAAATCCTACTAAGTATAATATTTGTAGTGTTATAAATATAATAATTTGATAAGCTCCTAATATGTTAGAAATATATAAACTAATCATGAACCATATAACAAATGAGGTATAACAAAAACAAATGGAGTTATTTGGTGTCCAATAAACATACAACACAGATAAATATCCAATAAGTACAAAAGCAATCTGTAAATATTACATTATTATTAATTATTATTACTATATAACAAAATTTATATATTTTATAAAATATTTTTTGAGCAACTAAAAATTACCATAAAAGTGTTGCAAGTTGTTATAAAAAATCCAAATATTGTATTAAAGATTAGGCATATTCTCCATATGAGACAACTTAATATAGTAGGTGTATAATGATATATACCTAAAGCTAATGTTGCCAGTAAAAATGCATTAACAATGTATCGAATGTGTTTCCATAAAAATGATCCTAAACTGTCAGAGATTCTGTCTATTATTTGTATAGGTAGCACCATTAAATTTATGATTAACGGCGTATGAGACATTTCTGTTTTTTTAAACCATGACTGTACAATTGTAGTTAATGAATATTTGAAAGGAAATAAGACAGAGCCACATAATAGGGCCCAAATCAAAGGTTTTACAAACGGTTTCAGTATAATGTATAAACCGTATCCAGCTGCTGAACATCATGACCAGCACTGAAGCCTGACAGCATGTTAAAGAGGTTATCCATAGGCGACCGCGTACTGTCCATTATGAATACGTAATCAATTTTCTACGAGCGCTTATTATTTAATTTTAAATTTTCTTATTATTTAACATTTTATTAAGAAAAATAAGAACACATCAAAAATTACACTTTATTAATCAACAATGATAAAAATATAGTATAAGAATTAATAAATACTGTAAAGGACTATTGTACAGTAGTTTATGCAGTATCCCGTGTGTGTCAATACTGCGATACTTATATCGATAACAGAAAAAGTGAAATAGGCAAAATTGTGATAGAAATTTAATATAGAATTCTATTTGAAAGTTTATTCTTTCCTTTCTAAACTATACCATATGAAATGAAAAAAGAATTAAAGGAACCTATGACTTAATACTATCACAATTTAGTTCAATTAAATAACATAATAAAAAATTATTAAAATATATCATGAACACCAGAAATTTATTTTTCACAATTTAATCAGTTACATCATAAAAATATAAAATATTAATTTTATAATTTAATATGTTATTTTTTGTATAGATGCGAGATAAAATCTTAAAAAATAATAACATTGTTTCTGTATGCGAAATTTAAAATGAAAGATTTTATTTATCATGGATCAGAAACTATACACCTTAGGTATATAAACGAATACATAAACGTAAACACATGCTAAATATATAAATCTGGTGAAATATTTTCGATATTTTCGGAAGGTTAATAAAATGACAAAAGTATTATAAGACGCTTCAAATATTTTTTATACAGTCTTAACCATCTTCGAATTCAATTACTCGAAAGCACAAGCGTTCTATCGCAAGTACTTCTTTTTATCTATAAATATGAAGATTATCGAAACGCATTTCATGAGACAAAGGCATTTCTCATTTTTAATAAGAAAAAGTAAATGTAAATGCTTTTCTTGCACATAGTTTTACATGATCTCACACACTTTGCATACCTTTTCTTTTTTTTCTATTTTTTTTTTATTATTTATTATCAACTTTTTGGTTACTATGTTTATGATTTTACTGAACTCAATAAATCACCGCTAGCACGTAAAAGTTAAAAATACTTGATTTGGTGAAAAATTCATTATACTGTATGTGCGTGTATAATACGCTTGTTATACTCATGTTTGTTGCAAACCAGCAAATAGATCTACCATCACTAATCACAGTATTTTGATCACAAATACGTATGTCAAATATTAGAAATACAATTTGGGATATTATGCGATATTAATCATATGGACACGAGTACTCATTTAGATTTCTGTAAAACTATTGAACATTTCTGTTTGTTTTTTGTTTTACAGTTGCTAAACAATATCAATACGCTAAAAGGACGAACATTTCATTGAATAATGTTAACGTGCTTGAAAGTATTAATTACATAAGGAAACATTGACATAATCATCACACTTTCATTTTTCCTTCTTTTTTTATTATTAATACTTATCGAATTGATGTCACGAAAGTTAATTAATAATAATCATATAATTATTAGTAGTCATTTCTAAAATCTGTAGTTCATCTCAAAATGCACCCAAAAAGTTGTGACTTATCCTATCATAAAGTTGCTGTTATATTTAATGCTTTAATTTGACCCATTTAAAAGTATGTTTCATAAGTAGATAAAGTTGTACGAAGTACTTCTCAAGATGTGGTCATTAATTAATTAAGTAACATTAAGGTGACAAAGAAACAAGAATATCGCACAAGAACACCATATAATCTTACTATTAACACTCATTGCTTTCATTTTTCAATCATTCGTTAATTCGCTATTGTATTGTATAATTGAAATCAAAAATACACATGATGGTTTTTGAACTTTAATATGGACAAGTTTTACTTTAGTGCCATTGTCTGTAATAAGTTCAATTATAATGAAAACAAGTCTGATTATCGTAAGTATATGTACGTGCGTATACTTGCGTATTAAGCATATACAATAAATCATGATTTTGTATTTAAATCATGTACTAAGCTATGGATAAAATAATATTTCGGTTAATAAAAATGAAAATATTTCAAGAAACATATTTCGTTAAGTAATCAGAATATAATATTCCTAACAAAATTATTAATCAGGTATATTTATCTATTTTAATATATATAAAAAAAATATATTTCTTGAAATATATGTAATTTATTGTTAGAAATACTATTTTACTAAGCAGTTAGATTGACTCAAAACATACTAGACCGTGTTTGTTTTTTACAATACAGAATTATTGAAAAAATAAAAAATCAAATCATAATTGTATCAACTATGCCTTGTATGTAAATTCTTAAAAATGTTTGACAAATGGCGGCAAAGTAACTTCTTTACGTAACGAATTAGTAAAAAACAATAAATATATATATATATTTTTTCTATTTTAATAACGCACGGTTATGATGCAGTAATAATAAATATAATAAAGCAATGCACGTAAATTAAGTGCATACATAACAATTTATACCGATATGTTTCCAGGTTTGTTTGTTACATGTTACAAGAAAATTATATTCGAATACTTCTGTTGACTTTTGACAAAGGTTTCAAAAATTTGATAATTGTTCATTTGTGATGTGAGATATTTGTATTTATTACTTTCGCACAAACAAATAGAGCAGTATATTTAAGATCTTTTACTTGCGATAACTTGCGATAATAAATGACTTATTGTAAAGATACGAAGAATGGCTAAAACTTGAATTGAATTTTATAAATTTTACAAAAAATTAAGCGAAGTGTAGTTTCAATGACCAAAACACTTGCAACTTATTGTTTGAAATATAAACAAATATATCTAAAAATTTTATTCAAATAGACAAAATAAAAATATAACGAAACGAATTTGTGACATATAGAGTAAATATACCAGAATTGTTAATAAGATTTATTTAAAGGAAAAAATAAATATTTTTTGTTTATTCGTGTATTAAACATAAAAAATGTAATAATGCAATCATCCACGTAAATTAGTGTAATTTTTTATAAAAGTATTCATTCATAAATTACACGATTAATTATCTGAAAATATTAAAAAATGATGGAAATATATTACAATGATAAATTAATGAAGTCTACAGAACAGTATGCAAATAGTACTTAAAATTGCGTGTAAATAATATTTTTACACTTTAAGAGCTGATTGAAAAAATACTATTTTATACTTTATGTTTGAAGATTGAAAGAACTGCAACATTTCTAAATATTGAGATAAATATAGAAAAATGATTATAATTTTATAAAGGTTTTATAGTTGTATCTCTTAAATTATCTCAAGTTTTTCATAATCCCTATCATTAAATACTGAGCGATTTATATTATTGTACACATAAAAGTGTACATGAATATTACCAAAAATAGGAGATAGATAATCTCACAGCACTAACGAACATTTATTATATAAAATGAAAATTGTTCACTCCCAATTAATGATTTGTTTTTCGTTTCTTTTTGAATATTTTAATATAACTTAAATAGACAAAGCTATCTTATTTACCTACATTTGCAAAATAAATCGCATTTGATACATACATCATAACATATGTATCTTTTTTTATAGAACACAAACGCACTAAAATTTGTCCATTTAAATCTTGTATGTAAAACTGAATTTTCATCTTGTTATCTTAAAGAACCACACAGTTACACATAAACTTAGTTCTGTATTGTATGCTTCTATGATAAAAGCACCATTCAAAACACGTAAGGAATTAGTTACTTTTCGCTTGCAATTGCACAATAGTTTGCAGATCAAGAATCGTCTTTTCCAACATTTCAAACCAAGAAATATTAGTCAACGAACACCGCAATTGGTTCGTACAATTGTTGGTTGTCACAGTATCAATTAAACTTGAGGATAATGTACTGATGTTTGTAGGAATATTTTCTGTTTGAATATTATTTCTTGATATGGTTTTATCATCTCCGGAATCAGAGGAAGTCATATCATGTACTTCTACTTTGTCTTTTTCTTCAATGTTTATGTTAGAAATGTTTTTCTGATCATTAAGTTCTTTGATTGGTAAATGTAATTCTTTATCAGTGCTTTCACTGTTCTCATTCACCATAAACTTACGTTTTTTCGTAGGAGCTTCTGTTTCTTGTTGATTAGATTCTTTCACTTTAATTGCCCTAGTTCGAGACAATAGTGTTTCTAAAGCAGGTAACAAGCTACTTGGTGGTTTCAGTCTTGTACTGCTATTATAGACAAGAGCTAAAGCTCTCAAATCTCCTGTTAATCTATGTGCAGATGCTTGAATATCTACTGCTTCCACCATTGCCATCATAGAACTAACTAAATTGTCAATAAGTAAACAAGTTTGTTCAGTTAATACATGATTAGCAAGTTTTGGAAAGAAAGTTTTTAGAAAAGCATGAATTGCTGGTATCCCTAATGACGATCTTTCATCTAATAACACAGCATCTACATAATCCACTGTGTAGGAAGAACAAAGAAGAGATGCAATATGTTTTCTGTCTATATGTGTAGCAGCATGAACGTCTAACCATAATCTAGGAAATAAGGCTAAATGTAATGGAACACCTGTAATCAAATAATATTGTTATAAATTATTTTAATTCTATAAATTTTAAGTGACAAATAATGCTTACCTTCAAATCCTAACATAGCACTCAGATTGACTAATGTATCTGTCATACAATCATTATTAATTGCTAATCTGCACATTACATCAATAAGTTCGTGATATGGTAAATAAAATTCAAGTAAAGCATTATCATATTCTGGATCTACTCCTTTAGATGCCTCTAGTTGAGAATGTGGTACTGCCATCTGAACCATTGGTCTTGCAGGTCGAGTAGGCATTTTTCCTGGAGGAGTAGATCTTCTTGGAAGATATGGTCCTGGTGGGACAGCAGCGTGAGATTCTTGAAGAGCTGCATGACAGTGTGATAATAATGGTGCCAAAATCGAGATTGCTTCGGCAGGAACAAGCATCACAAGTTCTTTTAAAAGATCAATAGCAAGATTTCTCATATCTGGAGGATTATATGTATTTAACAATGTTGCTAATTTCCGTAAAATATCTGGCCATTCTTTACAATTTGCTAATATATTTCTTGCATCGGGTCCATCTCTAGCAGTTCTGATACATCGTACAAGATCCACAATAATAGCTATTAATTCAGCTAAGTCACCAGCAACATGACATGCTGTTGCTTCGTGATACATGATATGCAGCATATGAAATGCTTCTAAAGCCATACTTAATCCTCCATTATACACAACATACAGCCGATCATCATCTGATTCAATCAAAATACTGTAAGATATTAATTTTATATAAATATATTTAAACATACCACTAATTTATGTTTTGAAATAGTATAGAAAAATAAAAATATTGTACCGAAATGCAGAAATAAGTGTAGCCCAACATGATCGTCCATCTAGTCCTTGTAAGTACGAAGATAAGGTTCCTCTTCTAAACGATGCAATTTCAGCTTCTTCTTGTTCTGTTTGATCAGGATGTCTTGCAACTAATAATTGCATCAATTTAAATAATTCATCTACCGCCTGGAGATGAAAGAAAAATATTTTACATTTTAAACATAAGGTTCATAAATAAAACAAAGTAGATTTTAAATTAAAAAAAATCTTACAGTCGAATATTGAGTAGGATGAGGTGTTATATTTTTAAATGCCCACTGAATATTTTGATGTGCAGCTAACTGCCTCGTAAAGGTGCGTGATTGTTGACAACATAATCGTAGTAAACCATAATAAGCAGGTAACATTACTCTATTAAATAATACCACATCCTGATCTTCGTGATCGGCGCTAAAAAAAATGTATAATACTTAAAAAAACAATCTTACAATCATTGTTTATACATTAAACAAAGTATACATACAGTATATAATTAAATGCAATATTCTTGATTATATGAGGATTGTGAAGTATAAGAGCTACATTTTCTGGACAATCGGAACAAACATGATACCAAAATAGTAGCACAGCTTGTTTATTATGATGCACTGGAATGCTAGGTTCAGAAAGTTTTGGATGGAAAAGTGTCCATAAATCATTTAAATATTGCCCAAACTAAAAATAAATATCATATAATAAAATAATTATACAAATATCTAATGCTTAAATTTAATGGAATGCTTACCATTAGTTTTTCTGTCTTGGAAATAACACAATATGTAAGTAATGCAAAATAGGCAGTGAGTTTCATTGTACCATGACTTTGTATATCAATATAATGTCTTGCAGGTTGCAATAATCGTAAAAGTGCTGTATATATTTTATGTAAAATTAAAGTAGCTTCTGGAGACAACTGTAGTTCTCTAGATGTATTGCATCCTAAACCTAACCTATGAGCACTGCGATAACCTTGTCTGAAATGAGTAGATGGAACCAATGACACAAGAAGAAAAGCAGCTGCAGAACGAACTCTTTGATTTGAATGTTCCAACAAAAAATGTTGCAACCATGTATCTAATCCTTGTAATACCCAAGCATGTGCAAGTTTACTTCTTGTAACAGCTAAAGCTAGCCACTCTAATGCTCCATGTGGAGCAACTCTAGCTGCTTCCCAAACTCTGCCTAAAATCAGTTGGGTCATACATGGCAAGCCACTTAAACCTGAGCTCTCGGTTAGTAATGTCAGAAGTTTGAAAAATGGTTGACAAACATCTGTATGTTTTGTTATAGCTTGGAATATCATTGTTACAATATGCATTGCTAGTCTATCATTCCAACGACATAAAGACTGTATCAAGTTACGTGTTTGGTTGAGATTAATGACATCTCGCGTTTGCTGATGCAAAAAAGGAAATCCTTTACCCCCTGCTACAGCACTAAAATCTGCTGGAGACAATGCTAGTCTAAAAAATAAAAAAGAAAAAAGAAAAGATAAATATATAATATGCACATATATACATATATAATTATAAAATATATATATAAATATAAATATAATTATAAAATTCCTACACTGAATAAAACTAACAAATTTATTGAATTACCTATGGTCAGGTCCTCTGCTACGCTCAACCAAAGTTGCTATTAAGGTGATCATTTTATCTAAAGAGGCAGGCCTCAATTTTTCTGTTGGCATAGCAACAACTTCTTCTTCCTCTTCTTCTTCACTAACTGCATCAACAAATTCATGTGTTTTATGTCCAAGATAAAAATTTACCATAGTCGATATAGCTTGTACCCTTATTAGAAATAGCGTTTCTTCTTCGCCCATTTTACTAAATTCATATAAAAAACTGAAATATTCAGTAAGGTGTTTCAAATGTTGTTTTGCATGTTCCATAAGAGACAAAAGCATTCTCACAAATCTTGTCACGCACGATCGTGTGCCGACAGTATTTACGTCATTTTCTTCATCGCAAAGAAGATACAAAGGTGATTGAGTAGCGCGCAAACGTTGTATCACATGAATACATAGCCTTTGGAACATTTGTCTTACCATTTGATTGGGGCACTTGACTAGAATTTGAATTGGCCACCATGAATCTCCAGCCATTTTTTCAAGAAATCTAGCACATGCACCAGCTGAACCATTAAATTGTTTTGTTAACAACTCTACCCATTGCACCATGGTTGGTTTTTCCTTGGCATGAATAAAAGTTTCCATAAAAAATGATGTTGAAAGATCTGCTGACATTTCTGTTATATCAGATTGTATAGAGAGTAATGTTTGTGGTATATAACCACATACTTGCCACATAAATGTGAAATATGTATGTTCAAAAATGTTTTTATCTTGTAAAAAATGCATATTATCCTGCCATATCCAATCTTCAAGTTCTTTATTCAATTCCAATGGTGGTAATTTATTAGTATTCTTATGAATCAACAAACTAGATTGTCGTCCATTTGGACTGGAAACAGTAGCTTCTTCCTCTTTTGCTTGATCACCTAGATCAGCACACCATTCATAAAATAGCATATAGGCTGAATTTGTTTTTTCAAAACTAAAGTCCATAAATTTATCCGTAACAGAATCATAGGTTTTACTTGTCATTTCTCCACCAAAACACTCTGCTGCTATTTGGTTCGGATCAAATGGTTTAACTTCTGCATCATTAAATAAAAACCATTTATCTTTATTGGGTGATGTACGATCTCTAATAAAACTATAATAATGTCCACCATCAGCTGTGCCAGTATGAACTGTTACACCAATTAAATCATACTGATAATGTTCCATTTCTGGATCACTGTCATTATTGTCTAATCCAGATTGACAATCACCTTCAGATTTCCTCTTTTCAGATGCTTTTTTTTCTTCCTGATAATGTTGTGGCATAAGTTTTTTCTCAACATATCCCGACATATCTAATCTTAATGGAAAACTAAAATGTGTATTAACTTTCTCTTTTAACATAGTTCCCATATTAAATGTATATCTCATTGTATTAAAACAAAGTATATGTGGCAATTTTTTAAAACATGCTCTTTTTTCTGCTCTTGCTTTTTTACCACATTGTGAACATGTATACATGTTGTCTCCTTCTAAAGTATCTTTAACTGTAACTTCATCTAAACTTTCGTAAAGATTTCTCATATCAGCTACCTGACAACGTACAGTATAAAATTCTTCAAGTGTCCTACTTACATGCTCACAATCTAATGATACAACATTATTAGATATTACACCACAGAATAATGTTTTTACCAAATTTTTTAAATCTGACGTCATTTCTTCTAATTTAGATACAAGATCTATAAAAAATTCAGCCATATCCTTTTGTTCTCCAGTATTAAGAGGCTCATGATTCATGGTATATACTCGACAAAAGCTTCGAGGATTATATGTTTTTCTTTCAGACTCTAAAAGATAAGCAAACATTCTTTGTAGTTCTCTTAATGTGAGTTGATGCTTATTTGCTCTATTACAATCAGCTCCTAATATAGAGACACGTGCTTGCGGCATCATATACAAGTGTTGCATACAACTAGCCATGTAACAAGTGGCACCTAAATTTGTAAGACCTACATATCCACAATCAGAACGTCCATCTTCATGTGGCCAATAATCCCATGGATATGGAGAATGAGGACCAGGTTTATGTTGAGCTAATAATTTTTCATGTAGAATTCTATAATTATCGGGTGCAGATTTGACAAGTTCGACCAAAAGATCGAAAGCTGCTGATCTGGAAACTTGACTTTTACATTTTGGGACATGTTTTGATCGAGGATTAGGTAATGCAAACAGAAAATCAAATACTTCATGTAACAAATTCTGTCCAATTTTTCCTTGCTTACAAGGTGGATTATGTGTCATAATATTGCAAGTAAGATTTAATAATCCAACTAAACCATCGTCTTCTATTGTATTATGACGTGTCTCAAGATGATCTCGATTTAAAACTGAATCAATTACTCTTATTGCTAGAGTTTCAAGATCTATTGTTAAATTTGAATCATCTGATCCTTCTTTGATGGTTTCTTCTGGAAGAGAATCAACTAATCGGCAAACAAGCCAAAAATAATCCCTACAGGCAGGTCCATATGGTTCTTTCCCATCATCAAGAACTGGATGTAGGTGCAACGGTAAATCCGGTTTTCGATGAGAAGGTTGCATTGCTTCGGCAATCACAAGATGTTCTAATAATGTATTTAGCATTGGTACAATCAAATTGGGATTACCAGAATTTTCATCTTCAGATCCTGTGGTTCCTAGACATAATCTATATAATGCTGTACAAACTTCTCTTCTCACTGCTGGTTCTGGATCTTCCAACACTAATCTTCTTAACCAAGTTTTTCCAAATGGTTCTGATGATGAAAAAAGATACTGTTTAACTGTTTCATCACTGTGTACCCAATAAACTAACAAAGCCATAGTATAATGTATAACTTGTGATCGTCCAAAAAGTCCTGTTTTGTAATGATTTGGATCTCTAGGTAAAGAGGCTTCATTTAATATATTTGTTATTCGAGACATAACAGCTTCAACATTTATCATTGAGAGCATTACTTCACTTAGTTTAGGTACAAGCAGTTTATCTGCTTTACTTCGTTTTTTCTCTTCCTTAACAACACCCAAATAACACAATTGTTTTAATAAGCTAGCAAGGCAGTCCTGCTGCCATTCACTACCATCACCTTGTTCCAAGCATCCAGACATAAAAATATCAAATAAATGACGCAAACCTCCATGCTGAATGAACAATGTGGACCAAGCAATATCTATTCCTTTGTCTTCAGCATTATCGTCTACATCGCCATCGCCCTCATTGCCAGACGCACTAGATGTACAATTTACAACAGAAGGTTGATTCGTTATACTACGTCTACTTAACGATTCCACAATATATAAAGAATACATTAATTTTTGAGGACTAGCAGGATCTAATAATTCTGGCAGAGTGGTTTCCCCCAATTTTTGAAATCCTCTCAATAAGGTTGGACTAGTTGGTAATAAAGTTAATGTATCCCATACTCCTCTAGAAAGTACTTGGGCTTTTGTGTGAGGAATTTCCTGTCCTCCTTTCACTACCGTTTTCATAGCACTTAAAGTTCTCATAAGCGTAAACAGTTGTTCAAAATACTGTGGTCGTAATAATAATAATGTCGGTAAAGATTCTCGAGGAGGTGGTGGCAGAAGAGATGGTGAATCCACATCTCGCTTATTACATCTACCTGTACCATTACCTCGACCAGCCCCAGGAGAAATAAAAACTAATTGGCCATCTTTAAATCCCATTTCTTGTAATGTTTTTTCATCAAAATCAATAGTCAATTCTTGACCTTGTGTAATCATTCTAATTGGCCCATCAGTAAGTAAAGAACCTAATACTGAACCATTATTCTGATTTGAATTTGTAGTAGATGATGATTTTTCTTGATTATTTTGAGTATCATCCCACCATTTAGCAACTTCTGCTCTTAAATCCGCTACATAATCAGTACTAAGAAGAGTGAAACTTGTTTTTTCAGGAATTCCTGCAGGTTGTACAAATATTCTTAGCTGTTGGCCTTTTTCTGAAGTATTCATAGCGACGTGACTACCAGCACCTCTGCCTTCCAATATCCAGCGACGTAAATGATATGCGTACCGTTTTCGAAACGCTTCTAAATGTGTCCTTAATAGCAACAAAGCTCTTTGTATGCAACGTAAACTAGCTTCTTCGTTCATTTCTAAATCGGCACTGGCTGCAGCAAGGTGAGTCATACATTGCGAAACAAACTCTGCTTCTTGAGTTAATTGTCTAGACATGTAATATCCGTTTAAATATTGTATAGATGCCATGCTAACATCTGTACTTTTAGCTTTTAGTGCAATTCGCCACAAAAAATCCATACCAACTGAATCTACATCTCTTAAAGGTCTATCCAAATGAGCAGCGGCTAAACGAGCTAAGTTACACAATTGTTGAAAAAGACTAAGACCAGTCATACTGATAGTTTCAGGTGGTAAGCTCGGTAATTTACGCATACATAAATGTTTAAGTGTATCCATTCCAAGTGCATGTTGTTCTGTTGATTTTGCTTGACTAAGTAACCAGCTAAAAAGTTCATCAGCACATGTTGGATCTTGTGACAAACACTGCCATAATATGTCCACCTGTTCGAGACTTAGGCGAAAACAATCAGGTGAACCTAAAGGTGAAAAAATAGAAGATAAAAATTGCAGTCTAACTTGTATTTCTGTTTGATGGGAATATAAGTTATTTTTTGGCCCTGTGCTAGTGTATGCTTTTAGATTATTAAAGAAATGTTTCATCATTCCACGTTCACGATCAGCCCATGTTGTTATCGTATGTGCATCCATTGCACCAAATTGTTGGAAACTGGCAAGTAATTTAGGTAATAATCTTAAAGATACAACAACAGAACGGTTGGTTGCAAGATTTTCTAAACAACCTTCTATGAATTTCATAGGTATTAATCGGTCAACATTGAAACATAAAAGATTGCACAAAGCTTTTTCAGCTTCCAAAGCTAAACCTTCTCCTAACTGACCAATTTTATCATCTTGCAGAAGATCCCATAACAACGTATTTCCAGGCTTACATACAGTATCCAAGTTGAATTGGGAACTAACATGTGTTACTGTTTGGCGAATGCTTCTTACTTGTGGAGGACGACAAACAGATCGTCTGATAGTCATTGTTGGATGAGAGTGATGAGGATGATAAGATTGCATTTGTATAGCTGTTAAATGACGCGCAGCTAATTGAGCTAATTCTTCTTCGCAACCACTTTCTTCTCCATCAAAATCTGCCATATTTTTTTCACTTTTGTTAGATATTCTACTACTATAGGATCCTTCTTCATCTGAAAGCATCTCATCTAGTCCTGAAGGTAGAAATGTAGGTCCACTTGCATGTACTAAACCAGCAAGTTCTGATATAACAGCACCAGGTCCATCTGCTGCTGCAAGGACACCAGCGACATCACTATCATCTTCATCGTGTGAAGTATCTGCAGAATCAGGAGCTCGATCTACGTTATGCCCTACTAACGACATGTATTTATTTTTGTTAACTCTTCCTAGAAGTACCGCCGTTGTCGGAACTTGTTGATCACTTGGATCTAAAGCCATTGCTTGTTGTTTTACACGATCAAATGCATCAACACATTTTGCATCGATACATGTCGGATTATCCATAGAAACTAATCCACCAGTATCCAAAGAACTGTTTAAAACATCCAGTCTATATTCCATATCTAACATTAAATCTTTAGTTTTCACATTATTTTCTTCATTAACAATGCCTTCTAATGTTTTATCTACAGTAACTAATGAACGTTTTTGCGGCTTTTTCCGTTTCCTTAATACTTTTCTCTTCCTTTTTTCTATTGCAACTGTTTCTTCTGCATTAGATTTTTCTGTATCTGCTTCTGCATCTGACCCACTCTGCTTTTCTTTTATGTCATCTTGTATACTGCATGTAGAATCTTTTATTGATTCAGCAAAACATTCTGATTTTTCTATTACAGGATCTTCTCCTTCGTTTAAACTTGTTTGTACAACTGCTGTGCCCACACTCTTTGCTTTAAATAGACCTATTAATATTTTTACTTTAAATCATATTTATCTAGAAGTAAAAATGTTATTTGTATAGGTACCATACCTTCTCCATCACTACTATCTCCTTTTGCTTGTTTTCTTGGTGAAGGTCCTTCAGATGGTGCAGGACTTGGTTCTTCTTCATCCTCGTCTGGACTGCTTCCATCTATTCCACTAGGCTCACTAGTACTACTCCCACCAATACCACTATTACCTCTTAAAATTTCTCTGTTTTTTATAGATAAACCTCTTGGATATCCTGAACCACCTGCTGTCCAAATAAATTTTATCAAGGCAGATGCTAGAAATAAACTTTGTTCTGTGTGGTCCTTTGGCTCCAATTTTCCTAACAAAGAGTATAAATGTAAAACTGGAGTTGGAGCCAAATGTTTTACTAAGGGTGCCAATAAATCATATACTGGACGACCACAATGTTTTAATTGCGCAGCTTGCCACATAGTATCCATATCTGAACATGTAATTCTACCTTCCATAGCTAAGAAACTTAATACAATATGACTTTGTTTAATCACTTCTACATGCAAATTTGGTCCAAATATATGAGCTATTATATTATTTTCTGTTAACCAAGCAGCCAATGCATGGCCCACTTGTTCCACTTCAGCGACAGTTTCACTATTGCAAAGTTCATTGAATGCAGTGATATGAGCATTTATCTGAGCTATTCCTGCTAGTCTCATAGTTAAAGTTGTACTAGTAAAATATTTAAATGCTAAATCCAATCCATCACGATCAAAACTTGGTAAAACAGCATCAATAGGATCCTTTACAGCACTCCACATAAAATCTAAGTATATAAAATTATTAATTTACAGCAACAAATACATACATTAAATTATTATAATCTTATTTATTTCAAAATTTACCTGCCATTGTTCTAACTGCTTGTGTGCGTAATTCTTTATCTGCTAAGCGACACATATATTTCATAACACGACTTCGTAATGGTATAAAGAGCTGAATGACACTACCATAATTCAACCAAAGTTTTAAATTACAAATCACTGCAACCATTGAGTGTGCAAGACTAACAGGTAATGTATTTTCCATATCAAAACAAGCAGACATTAAATTGAAGCCACCTTGATGACAAAATATGGAAACTGCTCTTATTAATGGAGCTGGCACTTCTGGATCATGAGGTTCACAATATCCTCCTTCATCCTTCAAAATGATAAAAAATAATCTATAAGTATATATTTAAACAAGTATATTTTTTATAGTAATACATTACTTTTACTGGAGCTAAAGGATTAATTGCACCACCATGTTTCATTGCAATATAAAGAGGAAAATTTAATAAAAATATTTTTGAAAGAAGATGAAACAATTTTTCTCTATCTTGTTGAGACCAGTTCTGTTTTGTTTGTGTTTCTGTTTCTGCAAAATCTGAGTTTTCTATTTTAGTTTCATCTGTTTTTTCTTCCTCTTTTTCGTCTTTGGATGATGCTTTTCCAACATTTGCTTGCTGACCATTTTGTTGTATAATTTGTAGCTGTTGTAATGTACATAATACAACACTTTGAGTTAACCGTATAAATCGATCAAAATTTTTTATTTCTCGATAACAGCACATGCACTGTCTATAAGAGTGAAAGATAAGAAGTTGTATTAAAACAAAAATAAAATAATTCTATAAAGAGTTTATATTAGTTAACAAGAGTTTATAAATTTGTATGTGTGCGTGCGTGCGCGCGCGCGTGTGTGTATGTATCATAAGAAACAAAAATGAAATCAGACCTTTGTACCCACTGATTAACATAATGTAATGTTGTGTCCACATCCGAAATACAAAGTGTTGCCAATCCATCTTGTTCCTTCGATGATCTTTCATCATCTAAATATAAATTATAAATAAAAAATAAAAAGTATGAAAATTTATATAAAATAACTACAATATAAGCAAAATTAATGTAAGAATTAAATACATTATTACATCATTAGTTTTAAACATTTCTACTTTCATGTGTCGTACAATTCTACTACTAATTACGACTTTTAAAAACAATATGTTTACATATTTTATTAATTTTTGTATTTATTATTAAAATGTATTTATACATTCGTTTTAATGATTTCTAAAATCATACATAAACAGTAAGGTTATAAATTATAATATTATAAACTAACTTTTATAGTACCAAAAGTTACATGTAAATATGAATTCAATAAATATTTTACAACAAGTCGTTTCTAGATTATTTGTAATAAGGTATTAGTTAATGATGCAAAATGAAAGTTTGCAACATGCAACAGAGTACAATAGGTTAACGTGAAAGGTATTGTACACATTTTGCTTACAGGAGAGCAGAAGGTCGTGAAAGTCAACACACACATCGCACATGGTTTCCTTCCTTTAGCCTCTGAAAGGCTTTTAATCACGTTAAGTTCATCACTCAACTTCACCACCATCCATCCAAAAAGTTGGTAATATTATTAAACATTTGTATTCTTGATTACTCTCAACACTTGATTAATTCGTTAGTCACCATATTGCTTTTTTACGCAGCTGCATTCACTTGCTGCTTACTTCAGATGAGCAACAATAAATATCTTTCTACTTTTTGAAAAACTTTGATATTTGAAGAAAATGATATATCCATAGAAAACTATTTTACTTTGTTATCGTACTTTATGAATACCTTCATCCAAATACCTTAAAAAAAATTTTATTTCGTGCTTATCAATATGAATGTCATTATGACAGAAGACAGCTGATCGCCGCCATATTTTATAGAAATAATATGATATTTAAAATGATCGTACCATTATTTTAAACGTTAATGATATACAAATTAAAAATATATTTTTTTAATGTATGCAAATGATATAAAATAGAATATTAAATATTATAATTAAAACTTGTTTATGTTTCAATTACTATACATTTTAGTATTTTTTATTATATTAAAATGTATACTGATAAAACAATATTAGCTCACAAATATTAAATATTAAAAACAATAATATATACATAATAAATATCAACTAACTTAACATAATATATCAACTAACATTAAATTGTTTAAATTAAAAAAGGTTTAAAAAATGAAATTATTTTTATTTTGTTTTAAACAAATCATACACATTTTTTCCATATACTATGATGTTAAAAAATAATTAATATTTAAAACTTCGAAAAAACAAATCTATTAATATTTTAAAATTTAGTTATAACCTTTAAAGTTCTTTCCATAATTTTTAATTTCTTAAATATTAATAATCTTTAAACATAACTTAATCTTAATTATAATAATTTGTATGTATTTATACATTTATTTATAATATCATTTAATCAAAAGCTATATTATTATTATGTACTTAATTTGTAATTCTAAGAAAAAATATACAAACAGTTCTAGATGTATAATTCTGATGAGAGTAGTACAGTACAGTACTGGTAGCGCCAGTTGTTCAGAACTATGATAAACAATCTCGAAAGAAGCACAACATCTTGTGCTATTTCATAGAATTGTAATTTTCGTGTGAAGTTATTGACGTGTGTGACGAATTATAGGATATCGATAAGTGCCATACAAACAGAAGTAAATTTTAGTAAATAATTGAGATGGGTAGCACAGATAAAGCTGTGATCACGGGTTTTATATGCAGACTTTGCAGTAAGATGAACCGTTTTGTGATCCATATATATGGTGAAGAGGGTGAGAGAATGAAACTTGCTGAAAAAATAAATACTTATCTGCCAATTACGGTAAAATCAAAATTTATTTTTATACATTTTGAAATTCATATGTCTTGAATATTATCTAAAAGAAAAAAATTGTCATACTTTTTATTTCATTCATGCATGATTGGTTAAGATGTCATTTTATTTAAATTATATTCTTTTTTTCTCACTTTTAATTTGACTTCTTGAATTTTTTTATTATATTTGATACTGTTGATAATACAAACCCTTAATACATTATCTTAAATAATAATGATAATTAACAGATTATAAAATGACAAAATAATAGCTAATTTTATTACAAATGTATGAAACATTTAAAAATAAAAACATAGTTACATCAACATAGAGGAAAATAAATCTATTGTAATGCTTGTTTATAGAAGCTTTTATATGTAAACAATGTTTTGGTATCACATTACAATAATAATATTAATAAACATTTATATTTAGTTTAGCAAAATACAACTATATTTTGTCATACAGGTAAACATGAATGATCCATTACCTAAAACGGCATGTCTGCATTGTATTGAACGGCTAGAAGCTCATCATGAATTAATGGAACAGTTTTTGTTAGCTAAACGAAGATTAACTACTTAAAATAAAACATCAACAGTTGCATCAACCACTACAAACTGTTGATAATGCACCAACATCTAGCCCACCTTCATGTTGATATATAGAATAAAAAGCAGATTTTTTTTCGCTCAATATTATTAAACATTCTCTGTATCCTATTTGTATTGTTGTTTTAGTAATTTATTACTAGGGAGACATAAAAATGTTAAACAAAAATGCATATATATAATTGATCAATTGATTTGATAATCTATAAAATTATTTACTTTATTTGCTTACTATAAAGAGTTTTCTTTTTGAAATATCTTAGCAAATGCTATTAATATATAAATTTCATTTATTACTTAAATCTTACTTTTTTTTACACCAGTTGTTAAAACTTATTTTATTTACATTGTAATATTATAATATCTATAAATAATTATAATTTGTGTGTATTTTGTACTTTCACAAAAATTATTTTCTTTTTTTTGGCTGATAATGAATAATAACAAAATTAGATACATTTATGTAAATGATATTCAAATAAATACCTTTTAGATATGTTTAATAATATTCAAAATATTGAATTTATACTTTATTTTATGTTTTCTGCATAATTTTTATTAATAGAGATTTTTAAATATCATTTAAAAAATTGATATAATATAGTTTTTTAAAATTTTCTTCAAGAGATCTATATTACTGGTGTACAAAGATAAATAGATAGGTATGTCAAAGTGATTTTTTAGAATATTAAATAATATCATTATATAACTGAATGTAAAAATAAGAAAACATTTAGTTGACAAAGTTTTTACTAGCATTATGTATTAAATACATGAGATTGTCAATATTGATGTACATTAAACTGATCATATTTCCTTTGTTATTAAATATTAATAGTTAATATGCCAACTTTATATATATGGTACAAATTATAACAGAAATATTTGCATAAATATATGTTATTAACGTATAGCATTGTGCAAAGTTTAACAAAATTTGAATGTTTACTTATAAGTTGCAATATAATAAATAATTTATAAAAATTTTTAAATATAGAATTTTAATTACTTATAGTATTATGTATTTTAAAAATCAAAAATCTTTATAAGAATGACACAAGGATAAATAATATTGCTATAATTTGTTAAGATAAGATTTATTTCTTAACAGTATTCGCTAACACAATTAAATGTTATGTAGAACAATATTACTGCTTGGCGACACAATCCACATTGTGCTTACTATATGTATTATCTCACATGTAATTCATGATTTACAAAGGGAAATTTGTTTTCAGAAGACAAGGATGTGTTTGTCACTCAAATGTTATTGTTGCATAGTCTTAAACATTTTAACATTTAAGAAATATTATTTTCTCTCTTTTATATGTTATCGTTATTACATAAGAAAAGACAATATAAACTTGCATCTGTGATCAATATATGTATATAATAGATTATCTATACGTGTAACCAATATCCTCATAAAATCAGTGACTGTATAATAAGGTTTTTTCTTATAAATATTACTGCCTAAATATAGAGTGCAAATAATAATAAAGTTAATGGTAAATCGTAATAAAATAATAGATGCATATATTTAGAATTTGTCTACGACAATGTTGTACTCATTCATTATTTTGTTTATTCTGCAAATAAATAAAGATCTATTCAACTAGTATTATATTCTAGGTTTTGTATCTAAAAATAATACTATTTTGAGAAAATGTATAGTTTCTATATTCAATTTAAACTATGTAAAGTAACATGCTAAAAAATATATAACACCTAAACAGAGCTTTATGAAACAGAGTTGTTTTTAACAAAGAAATAACAATATTATTGATATTAATGTTTTAATATTATTGTTTACAATTCTGCTGTTAAATATCTTATAATTTATTAAACTGAATTCTATATATACGACGTTTTATTATTCTTTTGTATTTAAATACCTTAAACTATTTTAATTGTTAATTCTAATAATGGAAGTAGCTTTTCCAATTAAATGTTTTTATATATTTTTGCTGGAATCATATAATAATAAGACAGTGAAGTATAAATAAAATAATCTTTGTTTCAGCCCTTGTAATGTTTAAATATTTAATTTTTATTTAATATTTGATTGAGTGTCGATACACATCCTCTTGACTTCTTAAAACAAATATTTAGCATGTGCTACTGCAAGATTTCTGAAACCATTATACAATAATATGTGTAGCTATATCTGTGTGCGATAAACAACTGCTAAAACCTGACTTATGAGTGTCTTTAACACACAATGTAAAATATGTACAAAGATTTATGGAGCCCAACTCCTAATTTTCTTTTATCTTTCCCCCAATCAGTGTATGATCATGTTGTCTGATACCATAAAGCATATCCGCGATTGATTTTTTTTATAAAAAATATATAATATATATCTATATAAAATTTCATTCTTTTTTCAGCCAACATGTCTTCGTACAAATTTAATTCCACTCAGGGGTATTTGATTTTGTTTTCTGCAATTTGTTTCTTAAGTTTAATTTTTCCATTTTTTTTTCTTTTTTTTTTTTTAATTTAGTACCTGAGGTACTTCGACGCTCAAATAGAAATATAAATGCATCTTTGACCAATTACGATATATATGATAATGAACGTCTAATACCTATCTGATGATTAAAGCACAATGGCAGCAATTTTTCAAATATAATGCAAAAGGCTGTAAATTGATGAATAAGTTGTTGAGCTGCATTCATGACAATTGCATAGTTGAAAATCCAATTCTATGCATTTTGTCAAGAAATTTGGTTTAAAGTACGAATATGATTGCTAATTACAATAAATTTTAATTTTTCGTATTTTAGAATAACTCTAATATGATATTTTATTTATGTAAATTATGTACATAAATTAAAGTAATTCTTTTTTTTTTTTTAGAAGTTAAAAATTGTGCTATATCTCACATGCATATAAATATACAATTACTCGTTCATTTCGCAAATTCTTTACGTACGAACGAACATTGCTTTAAATATAATCATTTTCTTACTAGTTTAAAAACCACATTAAATTGCAACATTCTTTTTACTCATTAAATAAAAAATTTCAATTGCAAGGGTGTTAAAATTCTAATTACGTATATGCGTATATTGCAAACCACTATAACACTA